CACCAGGCCCCACAGCAAGCGTCTCCTTCTCGAGACAGCAGCACAGACCTCACGCAGACCTCCTCCAGCGGGACAGGTAAAACTCAGCCCTGTCACCTTCCCTACCTTTCGCCATCTCCTGAGGCTTAGCGGTAAATTCCTAGCAGACCCCTCTGGTATTTGAGATTAGAGAATTTCTTAAAAGTCTGAGGCTTTTGGTTTAATCCTTATGGGAAAGTCACATGAGGATGAATGGGTTTTAAAGGGTGCCTTGCAGTGGAGCTGTGGATTCTAGGAGGAAATTAGGGACCCTGAAGCCATCTCCTCCCTACCTGAGAGTTTATTTGTCCAGAGACACAACACCTGGTCAACCAGTTACCTGAATGATCTTACCCAGCAGTTGTTTCCCTGTGGGAGGAAGTTATGGGTTTTGAGTAGCCATAATTCCCTTCAGAATTCCCTTTGGTGGTGCATGGTAGCACAGGTCTATAATGCCAGCACTCGGGGAGCTGAGGCAGGAGAATTGCCACAAGTTCCACAGCTGCTTGGGTTATATAGTAAGTTCAAAGCCAGCCTAGACTACATAGTAAGACCCTGTCTCAAAAAAAAGAAAGAGAAAAAAATACTTTTAAGTTGTTCTTATTCCAACCTTATTATATAAAATGTGATCTAGAGCGCTTTTAGGGGCTTGTGATAATGCAGACTCTTGTCACTCAATCCTATTAAATTAGAATCTGCATTTTAACAAGGTAACTGTATGCACACTAACTTTTGAACAGTGCTTGTTTAAAAGATGGATTTGTGGGGTGTCAGTTTAAGAAGAGGGAGAAAAGAGAGAACAGTCTTGTCAAGCTTCTGATGGGAGCATGGCCAGAGTCCTGGGGTGGGATGGGGCCATCAGTAGGGACCTGTGTCCCACTCCCTGACATGTATCTTTTTTCCAGTGACGTTGCCTGCCACGATCATGACATCGTCCGTGCCCACAACTGTGGGTGGCCACATGATGTACCCTAGTCCCCACGCAGTGATGTATGCTCCCACCTCAGGCCTGGCTGATGGCAGCCTCACCGTGCTCAATGCCTTCTCCCAGGCGCCATCCACCATGCAGGTGTCCCACAGCCAGGTCCAGGAGCAAGGTGAGGGGAGGGCAGGGCTGCAGAAGGGAGGACCGATTCCTTCAGTATACATATCTTTTGCAGGAGCTCTGTCTCCCTGCTTCCTAGTATCTACCTTTTGTTCTGCTTTTTATTTATACTTTGAGTTTTTCATATAAGAGAAAGTATGCAGTATTTAACCTTGTGTGTCTGCTTTATTTCATTTAACATTATGGTCTTAAGGTTCATCCATTTTCCTATAAATGACTCATTATTCTTCTTTATGGCAGAGAGTTCTCCACTGTGTGTACCTACCACCTTTTCCATTCATTTGTTGATGGAAATATAGACCATTTCCAAGAGTTAGCTATTATGAGTTGTACTTTTGTAAGCATGGATGTGCCTGTTTCACTGCGGTGTGATGACTTTAGCTCTAGATACCGGGCTGCAATGGGTATGGCTGGGAATGGCTAGGTCAATGAAGTTTCTATTTTGATTTTTGAAGAATATTCATACTGATTTCCATAAGGCCACATGCTTTCCTGCACATGCACACACACACACACACACACACACACACACACACACTCAGACACCATCCATCTCTACTTGGACACTCATCTGAGCCTTCCCTGTGACTTGCGCATTTATCACCACCCACCCGCATTTGGGGGCCCAGCATTTGGGGTCCTCCTGAATGAGTCTGTCCTGTGTTCCCCATGCAGGCGGTGTCCCACAGGTATTTCTGACGGCGCCGTCTGGGACAGTACAGATCCCTGTGTCTGCTGTTCAGCTTCACCAGGTAGGTGGGGGGCCTTCCCACCCCATCCATGGCCACATTATCAGGACTTGGGGGGATCCGTTACCACCTGGCCTTAGCCAGAAACCCCATATCCCCCTCCTTTTCTGTACCTACCCCCAGCTTACTGCCCCCTCCCCCCCAGATGGCTGTGATAGGGCAGCAGGCCGGGAGCAGCAGCAACCTCACCGAGCTGCAGGTGGTGAACCTGGACGCCGCCCACAGCACCAAGAGTGAATGATCCGCCCGCCACCCTGGACAGACGGCCCAAGGGATGGCACCACTTATTTATTGTTGCCTTTTCACGTTTTCTTTACACACATGTTGACGGGCGCAGGAGGGAGGCGTGGTGGAGGAGTGGGCAGCCACGGGACAATGCCCTCTCACTCCAGCCAAAGAAATGGGCCTGCCTGCCCTCCACCTGTCCTCCCGCACCCTCCCTCTCGCCTCCCCCCTCAGACTCCCCTTGCCAGCTTGGCTCGATGTTTGCCATGAATATTAGCTTACCTAACGGGACCGTGCCCCCTTCCTACTCACAGGCCTTCTGTGGGGCTGGGCACCGTGTCCCCCCCAAGGAGGCAGTCCGGGCTCTCTCTCCAGCCTCCTTGCTGACCCCAGGTCAGCACAGGCTGGCTTGCAAGAGGCCTGCCTGCTCCTCAGGGAGCCAGCAGGGGAGCCGGGGTGCCCCATGCGCCCCCCATGCCAACCTCTGCCCCTTCAGCTCCTGAGCAGCTGGGCCTGCGCAGGGCCGGTTCCTGGGTCTACCGCCCTGCCTTGCTGTGCCCTGAGGACCTCCAGGGGCACTTGGGTTGGAGGGAACCACCAGTGTTCCCTTCTTCCCCTCGTCTTCCCCTCTCTCCTCCCAGCTGCTTTAAAGTTGATTTTGAACTTTTTATTTGAGGAGACGAAGTGAAAACAAATCTATAAATATATATTTTTAAAATATTTAACTTTTTTTTATGGCGTTTTTCTCGTCCCCCTCTCTGCCCAAACTCCCCTTCCCTGGGGAGCCCTTGGGCTCCCCAGAACTGGCAGGGCTCCTGGGGCCAGAGCCACCCCATGAGCTTGGGTCCTCCAGTGTGGGGGGGGAGATTCTGGGATGGCCCCATCCTGGGTTGTTGCCAGGAGAGAGCTGGAGAAGGGGCCCTCAGACCATGCCCCAACGGGGTGGGGAGGTCACCCACAGCTCTGGGCCTCTTTTTGCCCTTTAGGGTTGTTGCTAGAGAGAGGAAAGAGGGAGACCAAATGTAAGGGTGGGGGCGGGAGGGTGTCAGGCAGAGGCAACTGACTTCATTTGTGCCACGCGCATGGGCATTGCAACCTTGTGCTCCCTCCCCCGGCCCACAGCTGCCTGGGGCCCAAGTTGCAGTGAGCAGGGTGGGGACTGGGAGGGGGGCAGAGGCAGGAATGGGGGTCATGAGTGGGAGGGCTCTTGGGCTGAGTGTGGAATAGGGAGCCAGAAATGGGCAGCTCTCCCAGGGAGTGAGCAGCTACTGTAACTTTTTTAAATTAAGACAAAAAGCCTTGAAGAAAATGACTTTATTTTTCTAAGTGTAACCTCAGTATTTATGTAATTTGTACAGGGGCCATGCCCCACACCCCTGCCCCCTGGGGTAGATCTTGAGGGTGGGCCGGAATGGGGGAGGGCCTTTTACCCTGTGTCACAGCCCACCTTCACTGCCTGTGTCCAGAAAGGGGCTTTTTCAAAACTGGGGCAGCAGCTGGAGCAGACCTTTCTTAACCCTTCCAACGCCTTCAGTCAGAACAAGCCTGCCTCTGATCAGCTGAAGGGGTGAGGGGAGTCTACGCACAGCCTAGTTATCAAGGGCATGATCTGCCCACGTTGTGAACCCCCTAACCTCACCCAGTGGTTGTCTTGCCCCATTCTGGGGTGCCAAGATGGAAGTCACCTTTCTGGGCTTTCTCCTGGAGATAGCTGGGTTTTGGGGTGGCTTTTAAGGCCAGGGCATGGCAAATCAGGGCCAGAGCTGGGGAGCTTGGGACTCAGGTCTGTAACTGCCCAGCCCCTTTGCTCTGCTCTTGTTACACTCCACCACCACTCACACCCTGCTCCCCCACCCAGGAGAGGAGATGCTGATGAATTCCTCTCCTTCCCACAGCAGACAGACCCAGTGAGTGAGTCAGGCAAAGTGCTTACAATGTGTGTCATGTGAACAGGGCCTTGGGAGGGCATGCGTGTCAGGGACGAGGTGGCATTTACATATGCAGCGACCCTTGGTGTTTCCTTCCTCGATGGCTCTGGGGTATGTGTGTGTGTGCCTGAGTGTGTGTGTGTGTGTGTGTATGTGTGTGAATGTGGGGTGTGTGTCAGTGATTTCTACTTTCCCTGGGATGCTGACCCAGGAATGGTGGACATGGTCACAGTCCTATGTACAGAGCTTTCTTTTGTATTAAAAAAAAAAATACTCTTTCAATAAATGTATCATTTTTGTGCACAGATGGTGGGGTCTTTGCCTTGTTTTTCTACCTAGGGAGGAAGGAATGAAGCAAACCCTAAAACACTGTTCCAAGAAGCAAGTCTGGCTTAGTTTGATGAAAACAAATGTTAAGGGGTGCGGTAGATTACTGAATTCCCTGAATCTTAATACTTGTGTGTGGAAGGGCCGGTAAAATGGGGGATTTCTCCTTATGCATAGTTTTGCTACAAACTTGGACCAAACAGCTGGGCAACCTTCGATGGGGGTGTAACAGACAATTGAACCCACACCTTCACAATGAACTATGTTCCCAGCCATTTCTTATCTATTTATTTTTGACAGGGTTTCTGCTAAATTGCCCAGGCTGGCCTCCCCCTCACAGAGTGCTAGCATTACAGGCACGTGTCACCTTGCTGGGTTGACAGATTTTAATTAACAGGCAAAATAACACAACCCCAAGTATTGCAGACTGGTCTGGAAAACTCATGGACACACGATCTGTTGATGGAGGAGAGGAAGGTGGATCCAGAGTTGAGGGTGCTTCATAGTGTCAGGGATTTAGAGGACAGCATACCGCAGAGTGGAGCAATGCCAACTGCATTCCCCAGTTCCTGCAGCAGCGCACCCCCACCCCCAACACGCTTCCCCCCTGCCGCTCCGCCGGGCGCGCGCGCGCCAGTGCGCATGCTCCTTGCGCGCCGCTCCGTTGCGCTGGGCGTGAGCCGCGTTGAGACCCATAGACTCCAGGCCCGGCGTGCGCGCGCTATGTGACCCGGAAGGGAGCTGCTGAGGAGGCGGGACTGGGGCAGCGGTCCTGGCGAAGGCCTGACCAGGCAGTGGGAGGTGAGAGTAGAGTTCTGCGCCAGCTCGCTCCTTTTCCCCTACCCCTGCCCGATTCCGTAGTCCCGCTCCGTGGGCTGACGAAGGGAACTAGATCTTGCTCACTGAGATTTTTTTGGTCCCGTCAGCCTCCTCGGACGGCCCCTCATCCTTGCCCCGCCCCCAAGCCCATTCCCACGGCCTGAGTGGCCTCCTCCACTGTCTCTCCGGTCTACAAGCCCCGGCCCGGTCTTATTGTGTGATGGGCTCAGTTCCCACGACTCACCTTCGCACTGCAGGCTAGCTCCCCTGGTCAAGACTCGCGTTCCACACGCACACACCCATCCAGTTGTTTTATTTTGCCCTAAACTGATGAGTTGTTTATTGCCCTGTCACTGGGTACTTCCCAGCCTGCCCCCCACGTTGAGTGATCCCCTACCCTCATTGAGGTTCACATCTTCCCTGTCTTTCCTTTTTAACTCCTTTTTGTCTTCTGTCCTTGTACCCCAAAATGAATCCCTCCCTGATTCCCATTTCTTCACCTGGGTTTACCATCAGTTCTCACTATTCCCTATTCCTCCCCCACTGCTTCGTATTTACACATACCTTTTCCTAATCATCCTACTCACATTTATAATCTGGTTTAACTTTCCATTTATGTGATGGCTGCTGCTATCATCTAAGAATAATATTTGATTAATTTTAGATTATATTTACTAAGCACTTATATGGTAGGTGCTGTTCAAATTGCATTACATACATTTTATTAAGTTTTTACAAGTTTATGAGGGAGCTAGAAATACTATTACCATTTGTAGATGAGGAAACAGGCTCAGAGGTTAAGCAGCTTGTTCAAATCTATGCAGATAGTAAAAGAGCCAGGACTGAGCCATGTTTATGTGACTCTTGAGATCCACACGACATTGCTTTCTCTCCTAACCTCATTCCCTATCCTCAGCTCCATCAATACTACTTCCACTGCATCTACCTGACCTAAACCCTCAACCATACATTCATGATTAGTACAGTGCAGGACTTGGTCTTTTTATTGCAGAAGTGACCTGATCCCTGGGCCACTCTCCTTTTCATCAGATGGTCATGCACTTTTCCCATCCAGTCATCTGGCCTGTATCCCTACCTCCTTTCCTCTCCATTTTGTATATCTGCCATGGCTTACTCTATATACACATTCTCCCTCTGTCATTGATAGCTCCTTGTCCTGCTCCTCTGCAAACCTGCTTTTCCTCATCTTCTGGCCCTACTGTCTCACATGCTGCTGCCCTTCATCCATGTCATGTTTTGAAGTTGGATTTGAAACCCTCATTCACCCTACTCTTCTGCCCAGACTGGTCTGCTTAACTGTCACTTTGAATATTATCTTGCCTATTGCTCTTCTCATTCTCTCTGTAACTTCTTTCCTGTTTTTGTTTTTGTTTTTGGTACTGAGGAGTGAACTCATGACCTTGCGCTTGCCAGGCAGGCACTTGTGCTGTTGAGCTAAATCTCCAGCCCACTTCCATGTCTTAAACCCTTCATTTCACCCCTTATTTTCACTGCATTTCTTGCCTTATAAGTCTCAATCAGTGGGCATAGTGGCACACACCTGTAATCCCCACACTCAGGAGACTGAGACAGAAGGATAACCACAAGTGTGAGGTCAGTTAGACTACATAGTGAGTTCAGAGCCAGCCTGAGCTACATAGTGAGACCATGTCTCAAAAACCCAAACCAAAAAAAAAAAAAACAAACAAAACCTCTCAAGGTTAGCCATTTTTCCCATCTTGTTTTTTTTTTTTTTTTTTTTTTTTGTCTTCTCTGTTCAACCTTTAAATTCTACCATACAGTTTACCAATCACCACCCATCCCATATGGAGTCCAAGATTCTGCCTGTTTAGTCTTTTTCTTTTCCCATATTGTCTTCTTGTTTTATTTTGTTTAGTTTTTATTTTGCCATCCTGTCTTATCTTTCCCTTTGTGTATTCTAGGAAGTCAGGATGGTAGGGGAGCGACATGTTGGAGACCTCATGGTCCCCTTGGGACCCCAGCTGCAGGCATACCCTAAGGAACTCATTCGCCAGCGACGTGGGCATGATGGGTGTCCTGAATATCTGATCCGGTGGAGTATCGTGAAGTATGGGGAAGTGGACAAAGTGGGTGTGGAGGAAGGCAAAACAGAACACATCCTGATGTGGCTGTCAGCCCCAGAGGTCTATGCTAACTGTCCCATGCTGTTAGGTGAGTGGGCACTGTCCAAGGGACCTCAGCATGAACCAGCTGAGGGTTCAGGGAGCTTTCTCCGTGACCCAGGAGGCCTGGATGAAGTAGCAATGGGAGAAATGGAGGCTGATGTGCGGGCGCTGGTACACAGGGCTGCCAGGCAGCTGGCAGAAGGTGGGACCTCAAGCCTCACAGCTGCTGTGCTCCACACCATCCATGTGCTCAGTGCCTATGCCAGCATCGGACCTCTCACCGGGGTCTTCAGGGAGACAAAAGTTCTGGACCTACTTATGCACATGCTGTGCAATCCTGAGCCTCAAATCCGACGGAGTGCGGGCAAGATGCTACAGGCCCTGGCAGCCCACGATGCTGGTAAGGGACAGATGGAAAGAAGGAAGGCATTGGAGAGAGAGCATGGGGCTCAAAGGAATAAGAAAGAGGAGCACTTTAAGAACACTTAGAACCTGATGACTGTCAGTTCAGGGTAAAGGGGTAGATTAATTGGTTATTATAGGTAAATAAACAGGCCAAAATGGCAGCATCTGACATATCTGCCCATTCTCGGTGCAGTGGCAGAGGGAAGAGAATGGAGTAGATTTATGGGGGTTTGTTTGTTTGTTTGTTTTTGTTTTTGTCTTTTTGAGACAGAGTTTCGAAGTCCAGGCTGGCATTGAACTCACTTTGTAGCCCAGGCTGGCCTCTAACTCATAGTAGTCCTCCTGCCTCAGCCTCCTGAGTGCTGGGATTACAAGTGTGTGCCACCACATCTGGCTGATTTGTGGTTTTTTTTTTTTTTTTTTTTTTTTTTTTTTTTTTTTTTTGTCTTTTTCGTTTTTATCGGTACCAGGGATCGAACTCACGACTGCACACTTGCAAGGCAGGTGCTTATGCCACTGAGCTAAATTCCCAGCCCCTGATTTGTGTTTTTAAATTTTTTTTAATGTGTGTGTGTGGTTTTGTTTTTTTTGTTTTTTTGTTTTTTTTTTTTTTTTGGTACCAGGGATCGAACTCTATATGTGTGTTTTTAAACTGTGGATTGAGATGTACTAATTGATTGTGAAATCAATTTGTTGAGGTTACAACCAGTAAAATATCAGTATGTACCTCTTAGTATTTGAGTTTTATAGCATGACAGATTCCTGTGATCTGTGTGTTTGTGCCAGGTTATCAGATAAAGTGTGTGTCTTGCCTAGGTTCCAGTCACAGAGAAACTTGAAAGCTTTTAGGGAAGGAGATAGAAAGCCTAGAAAAGGCAGGAGAAAGGTGGTGGGCATGGAGAAGAAGATACAGATTGGATGTGGATTGCAGGGAGTCGGGCTCACGTCCTTCTGTCACTGAGCCAGCAAGATGACATCGAGCAGCACATGGATTTTGATAGCCGCTATACTTTGCTGGAGCTGTTTGCAGAAACCACATCCTCTGAAGAACACTGCATGGCCTTTGAGGGCATTCATCTGCCTCAGGTACTCTGCTGGCTGTGGGGAAGGCTGTGTGCAAGGGAGTATTTCTCCAAGTATAGTGTGGGACTGTGTGTCACCACTCTGGGGAGCTAAAGTGAAGGTCCATCCCCCTTCCCATTCAGAACTTCTGAGATTAAACTGGGTGTAATGCCTGTAATCCCAGCTACTTAGGGAGCTGGGCAGGAGGATTATGAGTTTAATCCCAGTTTAGACAGTAAGTTAGCAAGACTCTGTTTCAAAAAATAAAAAACATTCAGGAATGAGAACATTTTTCTGTAGGGAAGATATAGCAGGGGAAGGGAGGAGCCAGAGCCAGTAGTAGATGAGCCTGCATCAAAGGTTGTGTCCTATAGATCCCAGGAAAGCTGCTCTTCTCACTGGTGAAGCGCTACCTGTGTGTCACTTCCCTGCTGGATCAGCTGAATAACAGTGCAGAAGCAGGCACTGGAGACCAGAGCTCTCGGTGCTACACAAGGGAGAAAAGCCGGGGACAGAGGGAGCTGGAGTTCAGTATGGCTGTGGGCAACCTCATCTCAGAGCTGTTGCGGAGCATGGGCTGGGCCCACAAGCTCAGTGAACAGAGCTCATCATCACCCTGTCCACCTCGGTCCATCTTTCAGCCCTGCATTTCAGGGCCCTCCCTCCTCCCCACCATCAACACCCCCAGAACACAAGGGCGGGGCTTCCGCCAGCGCTCAGAATTCTCTAGCCGCAGTGGCTATGGTGAGTATGTGCAGCAGATGCTGCAGCCAGGCATGCGAGTTCGGATGCTGGATGACTACGAGGAGATCACTGCTGGGGACAAGGGGGAGTTCCGGCAGAGCAACAATGGTGTCCCCCCTGTGCAGGTGAGGGACACATGATGACAAACACTGCTGGGGATCTGTTGTGGGTGGGATATAGCTGGGCTTCTGTGTAAAAGGCTCTGATATGCCAGCCAGGGAGAAAACTCTCAGGGGATGGAAGTGGTAAAAGGCAGTCAGCAAATGGGGTTGTGGGCAGCTGTGAGGTCATGGACGGATACCTACCAGAAAGCAGAAGGGACTCATTGAGGTTCTCAATCACTAACACCAGGGGAAGAGGCCATTAAGGTGTGAAGAAAGACAAGGCCCACTCCTGGGAGGGGCAGGAGCCTCTGGTCACACAGACAGTTTCCCGAGCTCAGAGAGGTGTGCATCCGAGGGTGTGACCCTCAGCTAGGCCTGGGCATGTCGTCTGCAACCCTTGTAACCCAGAGCTCTGAGAACCAACTCGTCTCCACTTCCCCTGTGCCAGGTCTTCTGGCAGTCAACGGGCCGCACCTACTGGGTGTATTGGTACATGCTGGAGATCCTGGGCTCTGAGGATCCTACTGGGGATGCTGCTTCAGCAACTATGGAAAAGGGGGCTGGGACTACTGTACTGGGCACAGGTGAGTTTAAGAGGACATGGTCAGCATATCTGACTAGAGGAGTGGAGTTCAGCAAGAAGCCACTTCCCTGGAAGCTGTCCCAGAGGTTCAGATCTTGGCTCTTTTTCCCTGCTGGGTGCTGACACCCCTGTGCCTGTGTCTTCAGCGCTTCCCTCCTGGGACTGGAAACCTGTGGACAGCCTCTACTGTTTGCCGTATCTCCAGCCTGAGCCGCAGAAACATGAAGAGGTGGGGTACCTGTCCCGGGCTGAGTGGTGGGAGCTGCTTTTCTTCATCAAGAAGTTGGACATAAGTGAGCAGCAGCCAGTTTTCCAGAACCTTCGGGAGAAACTAAATGAGGTATTACAGCCTTGAGATCCTTGGAATGGGTGGAAAGTGGTAGTTGTGAAGTTAGAAGTGAGAAAATTAGAGGAAGTTCTAGCAGTGGTGTCCACTCAGAGGTAGGCTGAACTGGGGGTTAGAGGGCTAGATCCTGTTGAGGGAGGAGAATGCTGTGAGGGCCTGCTGTGTAAGGTACGAGGGCAGGTGGGGGCAGCCAATCTTCCAGTTACCATTCCCAGGAGCATGGTGTCTGCTTGTTCTTAAGATGCACTCTCTGTTGACAGACCCTGGGTGAAGAGACCCTGGGGGAGCTCTCCATGCCAGTGGAGATGGCTGAGGGCCTGCTGCAGATCCTCCGTAGTCGGCTGGAGGGCAGCACCCTCTGTGATCTGCTCAACTCCCAGATCTACACCAAATATGGACTGCTCTCTGATGAACCCAGTACCTCATCTTCTTCACGAAGTCACAGCTGTACCCCAGATCCACAAGAGGAGTCCAAGTCAGAAGCCAGCTTTTCAGAGGAAGAGCCTGAGTGCCCTGGAGCAAAGACCAAGCCCTCGGAGGCAGAGGCAGAGCCAGCCAAGGCCAGGACTGAACTCCCCATGGCACAGAGTGATTTGGAGCTGTTTAACAAGCTCCTGGCGGCCGAGGGGATGGCTATACCCCCCAAAATGAAGGAGGCAGCCAGTGGTGAGTCACAATCTGGGAGCAGAGAGCAAAGACATGTCCTGGGTGGGCCCATAGAAGGTATGGACCTTCAGGGTGGAGGAAAGCCTTGCAGTAAGCTGCTTCCATCATCCCTTTGATCTGGATTATATAATCAGCTATATCCCCCTGTCTTTGGTATCTCTGGAGAGAGGATCCATTTTCCAGGGTTTCTCCATCTTCCTTGTTTGATTAGATCCTGCATAACTGGCAAAGTTCCAAATGCAAGCCACAGTAGACTTGCATTTGTATTTAAATTTTGGTGGGAAGACTTGGCTTGTCTTTTAGAGACTTCCAGCCTGGAGGTGCCTCTGTTCTTTAGCCACTGCCTTTCCTTCACTGATTTCAGAAATGGCTAGAACCTTGCAGGCTCCTGGTCCACTCAGCTCCCTGGATCAGCATGTGGTAGCAGTCACAGCCACTATGCAGATATCCAGCTCGGACACAGACCTGCAGCTTTCGGGGCTCTATGCCCTTTGTCAGACTGTGGAGGAGGTCACTGAGCGGAACCACCCCCTGGTCCATCCCAACAGATTGCTGAGGTTAGCATGGTGCCAAGGGAAGAGGCTTTAGGTTGACGCTGGGCAATGAGGATGGTGGGGGTTGATGGGTAGGGGATGGGAGCAATGAGATCAGAATTAGAAAGGCTGAGGGTGAAGGAGGGGTCACCTGAGGAGCAGCTAAGCAGTGGGTGTCAGATATTCCTGGAGCTCTTCTGTGCTAGAGTTTTACATACATTCTGTCATTCCTAATACCAGGGAAGCACTGATAGGATTGTTGTTCCATTATTAGTATCAGCATCAGCTCTGGAGGCTAAGTTTTTTTCTCATAGAATTTTTCTTCTATCCCTACTATCTTTTTACTTTTAAAATTTCTCCTCTGTCTTCTCCTCCTTTTCCTTTTTTTTTGTCCTCCTCTTCATCCTCATTCTCCTTCCCTTTTTCCTCCTCCTTTTCCTTCTCTTTCTCCTCCACCTCTTCTCTTCCTTCTTTTTTTGCAGTACTGAGACCAAAGCCTGAGGATTGAAACCAAAGCTTTTTGCAGTACTGAGGATTCAAACCAAACCAAACATCTCTAGCCTTTTTTTGTTTTTACTTTTTTTTCTGGTAGATGTAGGGGACAAGGTCTTGTTAAGTCACTAAATTGCCCAAGCTAGGCTTGAACTTGAAATGATCTTGCCTCAGCCTGCCAGAATGTCGGGATTATAGACGTACACCTCTGTGCTGGCCCTGTATTTATTTACTTATTTTTTTTGGTCACAGTTGCCAGGCAGGTGCTTACAGTACTGAACTAAATCCCCAGTTGGTCCTGTATTTCTGAATTGTATAAATAATACAACATAAATGCATTTTTTCCTGCAAGTGCATTTTTTTTTTCTGGTACCAGGGATTGAAATCATGACCTTGCACTTACCAGTCAGGTGCTTATACTGCTGAGCTAAATCCTCAGCCCCACAAATGCATTCTTTTTTTTTTTTTTTTTTTGGTGCCGTGACTCGGATCCGAACCGAGGTTGCTGCGGCCACAACACAAATGTGTTCTTAAAAGAGATTTGGAAGACAAAAAACATAGAGTAGAAAGTCCACGTACCTTTTTACCAGTTATCAGTCTGGTACATCCTTCAGACCATCTCCAAATTTACATTTGTAATGTAGTTTTGGAAATACAGCATTTTTTTTTTGTTTTTTTGTTTGTTTGTTCGTTTTGATCAGTACTGGGGATCGAACTCACAACTGCACACTTGCAAGGCAGGCACTTATGCTGCTGAGCTAAATCCCCAGCCCCAGCATTTTTGGAAGTATTTCTAAATTTTAAATTAAGTTGTTAGCTGGTACATAAAAATGAAACTCACACATATTATTCAAGTAAAAATAGAGCATTTCCTGGGTTTTGTTTTGTTTTTGTGGTACTGAAGACTGTTGAATCCAGGGCTTTCACATGGACCTATAGCCCTCAGCTTTTTAATTTGTTTTATTATTTTGAGGCAGGATCCCATTGTCTGTAAATTCCAAAAACTAGACTCGAACTTGCAGTCTTCTTGCTTATACTCCCAGAGTGATAAGTTTACCAGCGCCATCTTATCTGGTTGAATTTGTGTTTTAATATATGTAATCACACTGTACTTGCTTCTGTGACTTTTTCTGTGTCCTCACTTGGAATGTGTCCGAGGAATCTCTGTGTCAGTCCACAGGGGCTGCTCATTATTTTCTTTGCTGTGTAGAACTCTTAAGATTTGGCTGTAGCCAAGTTCAAGTACACTGTTGTGGTAGATCTGTTTTTGGTACCTCTGCCAACACTGGGTATTATCTTTTTTTAAAATCCATCAGATTGATGAGATTTTATATGATTTATATGGTTTCTTAATTCTGATGAAGTTAGGCATATTTTGATGCCTAACTTTCTTCATTTCTTTCTTCTTTAAATATTTTGTTCTTGTCCTACATTTTTATTGGGTTATTGTTTTTCTTCTTAACAGATTATGGTCATTCTGGATAGCAAACTTTTATTGTTTATATCCAAATATTTTATCCTTTAAAAATATCGCTGTGGCTTTTAATGAATATATAGTCACTAAAAAAGTTACAAAAACTGGAAGATCAAAATCATCTGAGCCAGGTGTGGTGGTGCATGCAAGTAATCCCAGCACTTGGGAGGCTGAGGCAGGAGGATTGCCACAAGTTCAAGGCCAGCTTTGACTATATAGCAAGACTCTGTCTCTAAATAAAGAAAAAAGAAGAAAAGAAAGAAAATCATCTGAAAGCTTTTTATGCAGAGATAATCAGTGTAACTTTTGGTAAACATGGTTAGATTTCTGTATCTGGTCCTATACGCTATCCATATGTATTAGACAGATCATAGTAAGTCCTGGCTTCAGAGGCAGTTGTGTATTTAAAGTATATTTGGGTGTGGTGTTGCATGCCTATAATCGCAGCACTCAGGATCTTGAGCAGGAGGAGTGCTGTGAGTTTGAGTCCAGCCTGGGCTACAAAGTGAGTTCAAGGCTGGCCTGACTATATAATGAAACCCAGTCTCAAAAATACACACAAAAAAGTATATTTGGTTCACTGTATAAAAAGTCCACTATACAAATATACAAAAGTATATTTGGACACTGAGTCCTCATAGGCTTCTAAGAAAAGGCAGATCAGTGCAGAATACCTCTAGTGCCTTTGTTCACACAAGTTGTTTATTTGTTTTCTTTCCCTCCATGGTTCCCAGGCTACCTCCTCATTTACATCTGTCACTATGGAGAAAGATGTCAGTACCTGCTGAGGTTTTTGACTTCTCATGGCCCTCACTGCAAGCTTAGGACTCTAGGGTCCTTCCTTTCCATTCAGCATTTCCAATCAACCTTTTTTTCTAGCTTATGTTGTATAGCTTAATTTTGTTTATAATATCTTTCATTGTGCTGAGTTTTTATGTTACTGTAATTTTAAACTTTTTTATAGCTTTTAGATTTTATTCTAGGATTAGAAAAATACTTTCTTAAATTTTCTAAAGATATGTATGATCTTTTTCAGTTTTTATATTAATTTAAACTCCATTTTGTGGGCCGGGGATTTAGTTCTGGCATAAATGCCTGCTGCACAAGCACAAAGTCGTGAGTTCAATCCTTGGTACCAAAAAAACCCAAAACAAACTCCTATTTTCAGTGGTATGAGGAAGAGCTTCAACCCCAGTTTGTTCAGGTGGGCAGCTAAGTGTCTCAGCTTCATGTTAGGGGGAGAGGGTTGTTACTGGGAACTGAAGCCAGGCCCTTAGTGCTAACTAAACACTCTGACTGAGTTGTACTGCTCGTCCAACATCAGTTTTGAAATGGCCCATACTTTCCTCACTGGATGAGGTGCCATCCTTATCTCTCTGGTCATCTGTTGGTTTGTTTGCTTATTCTGTATCAGTTCCAGAAGGTTTTTAGTTTGTTTAATTTACCTACTTGCTTATTGAGACAAGATCTTGATATATAGTTTAAACTGGCTATGGAAACTCACTATGGAACCCAGGCTGGCCTCGAACTTGCAGCAGTTATTTTTGTGGTACTGAGGGTTGAACTCTAACCTTGAGCTTGCCAGGCAGGCGCTTATGCCACTGACCTAAATCCCTGGCACTTGCAGCAACTTTTGTTTTAGCCTCCTGAGTGCTTGGATTACAGATGTGTGCTACCCTATCTGGCTAGACTTTTAATTATTACATTTATAATTACAGTTCAGTAGGCAAAACTGTCATTTTCCCCCCAAATGTTCCTTGACTATTCTTCTGTATTTTCTTTCTCTTCCTCAATCTTCCTTTGATTTTAAAAACTTATAAGACATTTTGAATGAAATTACACTGCATCTATTTGAAATGATAGGCCAGAATTTGTAACTACTTTTGCCCACTAAAGCCTGCAGGGCTAGTTAGACTGTAGAGGGGAGGGAACCCCAAGGGAGACTGAGGCAAAGGGAAGAGGCTGGAGAGTGTGGACTGTACCTCCATGCAGGAGGTAACTGGTATAATAGCCCAGAAGTTGGGCAAGATTCCATAGGATGGGGAGTCCCAGGGTCTCATCTCTTCTCAGGGAGAAGCTGGTGAAGACGCTGGTAGATTTGCTGACCAACCAGGTGGGAAAGAAGATGGTGGTGGCACTGGCCCTGCGCCTCCTCTACCTGCTCTTGAACAAGCATGAGTGGCGTCCACTCTTTGCTAGGGAGGGCGGCATCTATGCTGTGCTGGTCTGCATGCAAGAATATAAGACTTCCATCTTGGTCCAGCAGGCAGGGCTGGCGGTGAGTGCACTGGGCCTAGTGGGAAAAAGTGATGGGCAAGGCAGCCAAGCTCGGGAAGTGCCAGTCATCAGGAAAAATTGTGGTGATTTTTAGACCAGGGTATAGATATGAGAATGCAAAGATGCAGTAAGTCTGGACAGTCTTGGGGATTCTATGAGTGATGGGACAAAGCGGGAAGGGAGTTTTTGAGAATGGTGGGAAGTTTAAAGTGGAGCAGCATCTGGCAAGTGCAAGGTCATGAGTTCAATTCCTGGTACCAAAAACAAAAAACAAGGTGCATCATTTGGCTGCACCTAAACAAGAGAAATGCAGGAAGTAGTGGTATGAAGGAAGGTCAGAAGCTGAGTTTTTAGGTATATCAATGTTCCATATCTTTTTCAGTTACTGTTAGGTGTCTGGTTGAAGACTAGTATTCTACACAAATAATTTGGGTAAATCAGAGGCAGTTATGCCTTTCTCTGCCAGCTTAGGCTCAGGACATAGGGAAAGGAGGTGGCTGTCCAGGGGAGATTTAGTTTCCTGATTCCTTGGGATAGAAGCACTGGAGGATAGTGAGGACAGTGTGGCTGTATAGTGTGATGGTCCCTGACAGGAGACAGGTGGGCATCAAAGCACTTGTGAGAGTGTATTCTAACAATATAGTAATCACAAGAGCAGTCAGATATTCATGGGCTAGGTAGGCCACCCGTGCTCAAAGAATTTCTTGATCCTCTCAAATTGAAGAACACCCCTAAGTTCAAACTCTTGTCTATAATAAAATTGCAGCATCTTGTTCATAACTTTAAAAAAATTTTTTTTTATTTTAAAGAGATTAAGATAAAGGAGGACATAACAAAGCAGATCAGAACAGAACAATTTAAGCAACACTGTATTTCACCACAAGACAACCTGATATAACAGTTGCTACCATAATGTTTCTTTCCTTGAAATAGTTGAACATACCTTCATACACAATAGTATCAAACATAAAATAGTATTAAACCATTAAAGAAAATGAAAGTATTACAAGGCATTCAGAATCATAATTTGTGTGTGTGTGTGTGTGTGCCAGGGATCAAACTCATGACCTCGTGCTTGCCAGGCAGGTGCTTATTCTCCTGAGCTAAATCCCTGGCCCTTTTGTTCATAAATTGACATCTGTAGAATTCAGCTCATTAGGGCAGAGTGGGAGAAAGGGAGAAAGCTTCAGCTCCTGGTGGCATTCACTGGGAGAAAAGAGGCCTCACAAGGGACATTGTCCTGAGAAGTAGTGCTGGCCCAGTCCCTTCCTAGTGGGTTCCTCCCAAAGAGCCAACACTTTCACCACCAGCAGCAACTCTGCAGTGTAGGACTCAATTTAATTTAACTTTTCTCTAAAGTATTAGTGACTTACGTTTTCACATTGTAAATACTTTTTCTGTAATTGTAGCCACTGTGCCTGAGAGTGGCTTGTCAAAAGGAGCTGGGCACTAGCTAAGGCAAGGAGATGGAGCTTGGAAGTGTTGGTACACTTCCAAGTGGGAAGGAGCACAGAGTGACAAGAGGAAGGAGAGGAGGAACTGCAGTGTTTCAGGACCAGGCAAAAGAGCAGTAACTCAAGGGAGAGGTTTTGCAAGAGAGAGTGGTCAGCTAAAATGGGAAATGAGGGGCTGGGGATTTAGCTCAGTGGCATAAGCACCTGCCTTGCAAGCAGGCAGTCCTGAGTTCGATCCCCGGTACCAATAAAAAAGAAAAAGACAAAAAAAAAAGTGGGGGGGGGGGAATGACTGCAGGGAAGGATAGCAAGTGAAAGTGGGAAAGGATACCACCCTAGGGGAAGATTTGGGAAGGGGTGGCCAGCTCAGCTCCGTACCCTTACTGCTGGGAGTATAGAGAGAGAACTGACATCTTAGGGTGTTTTGTTTGATCTTTTCCCTTTCTTTCCCTCTTTTCTCCCTTCGTCTTCAGCATTTTCTGCTTATCACTACCTCTCCCATCTCTCATCTTCTAAGCTGCCTATATGCAGACATTTCAGGTGCCCCAAAACTTGTCTTCTGGATCAGTGGCCCTGGCCCTCCCTTGCCTCATGATGGCTCTGTTTCCTCCTAACTCTCCTTCTGCATCCTCCCACAGGCACTGAAAATGCTGGCCATTGCTAGCTCCTTGGAGATTCCCACTTCTGTTTCTGACCGAGATTCCAGCCAGCCTTTGTTTGATGTACAAATGACCAGAGAGATCTTCGCCAGCATTGACTCAGCAACGCATTTGGGCTCCGAGAGCTTGCTTCTTACTCTCCCTGCAGCCGTGGTCCTAATGCTGAACACTGAGGGGTCAGGACATTGCCCTTCAAACTCCAGGCTCCTTGGCCCTGCACCCCATTTCTCTGTGCCTTAGGCTCCTGTGCACCACAGAAATTCACAGAAATTGTCATGTCTGGATTAAACATGGGTAGCCTGGGCTGGGGATTTAGCTCAGCGGCATAAGCACCTGCCATGCAAGCAGGCAGTCATGAGTTCGATCCCCAGTACCGATTAAAAAAAAAAAAATAATAATAATAACAATAATAAAAAAACATGGGTAGCCCTCTCTGAACGTCATTAAAAGTGAGGCCAAGTGGTTGGAGGTGGGAAGAGCGCCAGAGAAAGTTCTGCCCTTCCTTCTTGAATATTAGGGGTCAGGGATCCTGCTTCAGAGGAACCACTGGGGCCCTCTCCCCTCATCGCTACTTGACACCTGCTTTCCTGCGTCCTTGCATTTACTGTCACTTCTCCCTGGGTCACCTCTCTCCCAGGTGTTCCTCAGCAGTGAGAAATGGCTTGCTCCTGCTCAACCTGCTTTTGGGCAACCATCACACTCTGGGAGACCAGATTATAACCCAAGAGCTGAGAGACACCTTGTTCAGACACGCAGGGATAGCACCGGGGACAGAACCCATGCCCACCACCCGCACCATTATCATGATGCTTCTCAGCCGCTACTCGGAGCCACCGGGCACTCCTGAGGGTCAAGGTACCGTGTGTGTGTGTGTGTGTGTGTGTGTGTAGAGTTCCTCTGAGAAAGACACAAGGAGTCTTTAGATAATGAGGCTTTCGCTGTTCAATTTAGGACTTTTGTAGAGCTTCCTGACCAAGAGGAGGGGACTCTAGATGGGTGCCAGTGTCTTCTCTGAATGGGCTTAAACATAGGTGGATGCTTACTGGTGTTAGTTAGGTTGATTCAATCTTAGTGGAAAGTAGAAAATTAGTTAAATTGATGTGTAGGGAGGCTTTCTGTCAAGAAATTGTAATTTATGCTATGGAAAGTTTGTGATTAGAAACATGAGATACTGATGTTAAAGAGAAGAAATCTTTTGTGTTTAAAAAAAGCAAGTATGGATAGATATTGAAATAAGCAATATAGGTAGGCACAGTGGCACGAACCTGTAATACCAATACTCAGGATGCTGAAGCAGGATGATCCCTGTGAGTTCAAGACCAGCCTAAACTACATAGTGGGACCCTATCTCATAAAACAGCAAAGATGCAATGTACGTATATATCTTTTAGCATGCATATCCACCATATACATTAGACGTATAGAATATAGTTATACCAATAAATAGTTACTATAACTAACAATAATAAAAGGTAAAAGGTAGTTGTCTATGATATAACAGTGTATTGTATTTGACTTGACAGTGTTTGCTAGATTTGTTTTCAAATGCAGTTAGGGGCATTTGGGGGCCAAAGAATAAAACTGTTTGGGGGGCCAAAAAATAAAACTTACAGTTTGGGAAAAACCATAGACATTTGCAATGCAGGAAGAAAATATGGGGCTGATTTCCTAGACTTCTGTTTCTCAGTTTGAGCACCTTGTCTGACTTCCCTTTGTGTGCATTTCTTTCTCTGGCCCATCCAACTTTAGCACTGGAGTTCCCCTGTGGCCAGGGCCAAGGTGGGTCCCCTGAGCTGGCGATTCGGTCCCTGGTTGGGGGTCCATCTGCAGAGCTGCTCCTGGACCTAGAGCGTGTGCTGTATCACGAGGGTGGTCCGGGGAGTGCCGTGAGGCCCCTTCTTAAGTGCCTGCAGCAGGAGACCCAGCCCTTCCTGCTGTTGCTGCGGACTCTGGATGCCCCCTTGCCCAACAGAACTGTGCTGCTGACTGTGCTGAGGTGAGGAGTCTGCCCAGGCACCTGTGACCTGGGAGTGAGGGGACCATGGGGACTTTACTTGCTTGCATCCCCTCACCAGAGTCCTGACCCGACTGCTGGATTACCCCGAGGCCATGGTCCTCCCCTGGCATGAGGTATTGGAGCCCTGTCTGAACTGCCTGAGTTGCCCTGGCAGCGACTTGGAGGTATGAGAGTCCTGGCAGGAGTGGGGGAGGGGGAAGCAGCAGCTGGGGTCCTACCTGCCTCTTGAAACTCAGGGGCACAGCAGACCATTTTTGAATGAGAGCCCTGGATGGAGTGATAGGAAGAGGAAGGCTGATGTCTTCTAAGAGTCTGTGAAGCCTGTAATCCTAAGACTGGACAGGCTGAGGCAGGAGGATCACCAGAAGTTCAAGGCCAACCTAAACTCCATAGTGAGACCCTACCTGGGGGGAAGAAAAGTCTTTGAAACTGGGGTTTTGGAAGCATTAACCTGATGTCTGCACCTGGGTTTTAGACTTTGGGCTTCTCTGAAGCCCACTATTACCAATCCCAACAGCCTTTGCTCTCCATCAGTAAGGATTTGGGGATCATGGAGAGAGGCTTGAGCACCAAGGCTGGCTCTTGGTGTGACATGGGCCTGGCAGGAGGAGGCTGCCAAAGCTGTGTGCTGCCAGCTGACTCTGAGTCTCAGTACCCCGCATTCTGCACTCTGACTTGGTGCTCTCGTTTCCTTGGGCTTTCACTTTTCTTCAAAATCTCAGCCACTACACAGCCCTCCACCCTTATCCCCCTGCCCTTTTTTCCCATCAAATAATCCACGTGGCTCTGGTGCAGATTGTTCAGGAGCTGACTTGCTTCCTGCATCGCTTGGCTTTGCTGCATAAGGACTACGCGGTGCTGCTCTGCTGCCTGGGTGCCAAGGAGGCCCTCTCCAAAGTCCTGGACAAGCACTCGGCTCAGCTGCTGCTGGCCTCTGAGCTTCGTGACCTGGTGACAGACTGTGAGAAGTACGCCCAGCTCTACAGCAAACTCACCTCCAGCATCCTGGCTGGCTGCATTCAGGTGAGGAGGGATGTTGGTGCAAAGCTGAGAGGATGTGGGCCAGGAGCAAGGGAAGGGTGTGCCATGTGTCCTTTTTGGGATCGCTATTTGATAGAAATGGCAGAAGGGGCTGGGGATTTAGCCCAGCGGCATAAGCGCCTACCTTGCAAGCAGGCAGTTGTGAGTTTGATCCCTGGTACCGATAAAAATGGAAAAGGAAAAAGAAAAAAAAAAAAAAGAAATGGCAGAAAATCTAGCAGTTGGGGCAGAAAGAGGTTGAGTGTGCTGTTGCTGCTCTGCCTTTGCTCTGCACATTCTGTGTGTTCTCTGTGTTCCTCCCTCTGCACCTCTCCCTTCTCCCTGATGTTTGGACTGCAGTTGGTGCTGGGCCAAATTGAAGACCACAGACGAACTCATCGGCCCATCAACATCCCTTTCTTTGATGTGTTCCTCAGGCATCTCTGCCAGGGTTAGTGTCCTGCTCTGCTACTTCTGACTTCCACTGACATCTGCTCTGCCCTGCCCTGCCCTGCCCTTCCTCTCCCTTCCTTTTTCTTCCTGCCCCCTAGATCTTTTCCTTATTTCCATCTCAAGTGACCAGTCTGTGACCTACACCCTTCCTGCCTGCCCCAGGCTCCAGTGTGGATGTGAAGGAGGACAAGTGCTGGGAGAAGGTGGAGGTGTCCTCCAACCCGCACCGGGCCAGCAAGCTGACGGACTGCAACCCCAAGACCTACTGGGAGTCCAATGGCAGCACTGGCTCCCACCACATCACCTTGCACATGCACCGGGGTGTTCTTGTTAGGTATGGACACACCTATGGGCATGTACTCACATACACACACACAGAGGAATAATGTGATATACTTACCACATTCCCAGGCACTCACATGCACACAGCTTCATCTGTGGCCCCTCTCAGGTTTGTGCTCAAATCCATTTGGGCCATGGATGGCTAGGCACATTGTCCTGTGTGCTGTGTGGCTTGTAGATACCCCTCACTCTGTGAGCCTGGTGAGCTGTACCCTAGCAGATACAGATGTCTCTGCCCTGTGCTTATGTTGAGAGAGATCAGTAACTCATCCATTTTTTCTGTGAGCATTTGTCAAAATGCTTAGCACTGTTCAAAAGTATGGAGATACAAGGACATTATGGTTCCTGAATTTAGGGAACTTGCAATCTAGTTAGGGAGCCAAACTAGAAAATCAACTTGAAGGCCTGGCATGATTGTTACACTTGTAATCCTAGCATCTGGTGGGTCAGAGGCAGTAGGATTGCCATGAGTTTGAGGCCAGCCTGAACTACATAGCAAGATCCTATCTCAAGAAAAAAAAAATGATTAAGAAAAACATGAGTTGGGCATGGTACATACCTGATGTTCTCCCTCTCCAAGTGGGGAGGCTAAGGCAGGAGGATCTCTTGAGCTAGGAGTTCAAAGCCAGCTTGGGCAACATCTTAAAAAAAGAAGGAAAGAAAAACCTGATAGGTTTTCCTGAGGTGGATGGAGGGTTGGAGAAGGCTTCCTTCCAGAAGGAAGGGTTGACTAAACTGAGGTTTGAAGTTGAACTCAGACCATTCCCTGGCTTTGGCTGACTGCTTTCTCCTCTCCCAGGCAGCTGACTCTGCTGGTAGCCAGTGAGGACTCAAGTTACATGCCAGCCAGGGTGGTGGTATTTGGGGGTGACAGCCCCAGCAGCATCAGCACCGAGCTCAACACGGTGGGGAGCCTTCACCTCCTTCTGGGGGGCTGGCATTGCACACCTTGAGAGTGGAACTAGGGATGAGGAACAGTGTGGATCCCTGGGCAGAGGTGAAGGGCACATGCCATAACCAGTGTGGCTGCTGTCAGCTGGCTTTCCAGCCCCGGTGCTGTCAGTGATGGCTCTGCATCTTCTCTGTGGCCCTGCCAGGTGAATGTGATGCCCTCTGCCAGCCGAGTCACTCTCCTGGAGAACCTGACCCGTTTCTGGCCCATCATCCAGATCCGAATAAGGCGCTGCCAGCAGGTGGGGCTGGCGAAAGATGGAGGATTAGGGTCAGGAGGTAGCACTGTGCTCTATGTGGCTAGGCTGGCTTCTTTGGCATGAGGTATCCTCTGTCCCTCCTTAGTCTGCTTGGGAAGTACCCTGGGAATCTGCTGAGACCAGATATGTGGCAGTGTCCTGGGCAGCTCAGTGAATCAGGCCATGAGGTCTGGACCTTAGTACACAGTGGCTTTAGTGGCTTAGGTGACAGATGCATCTATGTGTGGCAGGGTGGCATCGACACCCGGGTTCGGGGTGTGGAGGTCCTAGGCCCCAAGCCCACTTTCTGGCCACTGTTCCGGGAGCAGCTGTGTCGCCGTACCTATCTCTTCTACACAATTCGGGCGCAAGCCTGGAGTCGGGATATAGCAGAGGACCACAGGCGCCTCCTCCAGCTCTGTCCCAGGTGGGTGTGGCCCTTGGGAGGAAGACGCTCAGGGCAGTAGGGTAGTGAGGCACAGGTGGCAGGATATGTGCTTCCCGGACATCTGACACAGTTTTTAGCCAGGCCATGATTGGTGGTGAACATAGATAGGTGGTTGGTGCTAATGATAGACAGTTGGGAGGACCAGGCATGGGGCAGATGAGAGATGGCTGGCACCAACATGGGGTCCCCAGGGAAGTCTGTGGCTTGAATTCTTTTTTTTTTTTCAACTGCTTTGGGTCAAACTGAATGTGGCTTGAATTCTTGACCATCTACTCTTTGTTCGCAGACTGAACAAGGTTTTGCGCCATGAGCAGAATTTTGCTGATCGATTCCTGCCTGACGAGGAGGCTGCCCAGGCTCTGGGCAGGACCTGCTGGGAGGCCCTGGTCAGCCCCCTCGTGCAGAACATCACCTCGCCTGGTAACATCCCAGCCCTGGCCCTGCTGACTGCTCCTTGGGATTATTACTAGGGTCCCTGAGTTAACATTTTTGGTTCTCTTGGTTCCTGTGTCTATCCCAAAGGCTGTCACCTCAGTGTTCCTCTCTGCTTACCACCCCAGGGACTGCTCCCTGAGACTCTGGTATTTGAATCTTCCTCCCTCCCCCACCCTATTACTATGTCCCCAGACTCCAGCTGGAGCAGACTTGGGTGAGGGGACAGCTAGGGCTCTGCCACCCTTAAAACCTTTTTGCACGATTGGTCCTTCTCCTTACTCCTGGGATTTTTCTTCCCTCATTGGCTGCGGACACTTGTTTTTGTCTGTGTTCTTGCAGATGCCGAAGGTGTGAGCTCCCTGGGATGGCTGCTGGATCAGTACCTGGAGCGCAGAGAGAGTCCTCAAGCCCCGTTGAGTCGAGCAACATCCTTCACTTCTCGAGTTCGGCACCTTTGCCACTTGCTGGTGCACGTGGAGTCTCCTCTGGGACCTTCTGAGCCATCAGCTCGGCCCTGTGAGTTCCCACAGTGGCCTGCAGAGTAGGAACCTGGGCTCCTTTTACTGCCTTTCTTGGCCCCTGGGAGTGTTGGCTTTTCCAGGGGTGAGCACCAAAGATTCTTACACTTACCTGAGGCTGGGGCACAAGCCCTTGCTCTGCGCTGTATCTCCACAGTCAGCAAAAACAATAAGGGGCATGATCCGAGCCCTGTGCCTGTGCCAGTCCCTTCGAGCAGCAGCCTGAGGAACATCACCCAGTGCTGGCAGAACGTGGTACAGGCACAGGTGGGCAACAGCAGGCCGAGGTTGGGGAGGGGCCGGGATGTGCCTTTTATGTCACCTCCCTCTCCCTCTCCAGGTCAGTAGGTTCCTGGCTGCAGCCTGGAGGGCTCCTGACTTCGTGCCTCGGTATTGCAAACTCTACGCGCACTTGCAGAGAGCAGGCACCGAGCTGTTCGGGCCAAGGGTGGCCTTTACGCTGGCTCTGCGCAACGGCTTTTCTGGTGCCCTGCTGCAGCAGTCCTTCCTCACTGCTGCCCATGTGAGTCACAGCCCAGTGTCTCCGCATTCACTCCATCTTCTCACCTTTGCGCTCCATCCCACAATCACAGCTTACCCAGTGCCCTCCTTGCCATTGGCCCCAGGTGAGTGAGCAGTTTGCCAGGCACATCGACCAGCAGATCCAGGGCGGCCTGCTGGGAGGAGCCACAGGCATGGAGATGCTTCGGTGTCTTCAGCAGCACCTAGAGCCCCTGATGGTCCTTTCAGGCCTGGAGTTGGCCACAACTTTTGAGCACTTTTATCAGTGAGTGCAGGCCTGGGAAGGCAAGAGAAAGGAGGATGGAGGATAGGAGGCTGAGATTTAAATGCAAGAGGGGATATTTAGGGGAATGTGGTAGGGAGAAGAGGCAGGATACAGAGAAGGCCATGCACTGTTGGAAAAAGTAAAAGGGAAAGGTGAGGTGGGCCTGTGATAAACTCCTGGCAGGGCAGTTCGGCTAGGTCGGCTTGGCACCCACACTGCGGCTGGACCTGTGTTGCAGGCACTACATGGCTGACCGTCTCCTGAGCTTGGGCTCCAGCTGGCTGGAGGGGGCTGTGCTGGAGCAGATTGGCCTCTGCTTCCCCAACCGCCTCCCGCAGCTGATGTTACAGAGCCTGCGCACTTCGGAGGAGCTGCAGCGCCAGTTCCACCTCTCCCAGCTCCTGAAGCTTGACTGGTTGCTCTTGGAGCAAGGGGAAGAGGAGAAGCAAGACCTGGAGGAACAGGAGGTAAAAGCGTGGGGAGAGAGGAGAATAAGAGAAGTCTGGACTGCAGAAGGGAGCCTCTGGTCCTTTGAAATCCTTCTGACCCCCAGGAGGAAGATGAGGAAGAGGAGGCCAAGAAAGCACTGATTATGGAAATTCCATGCCCTGCGGTTTCCATCCTGGTCCTGTCCCCACGCTGCTGGCCCGTCTCCTCGCTCTGCTACCTGCACCAGCCCAGAAAATGCCTTCCCCCAGAACTCTGTGATGCCTTGGACTGCTTCTCTGGGTTCTACAGCCAGAGTAAGGCTCTAGGGCAGGGAGCTAGAGACTGAGCAACTTAGGGCAGGAAAGAAAAAGGAATGGACCATTAGATAGGAATGTGTGAATGCGAAGAAATAATTTAGCAATCTCCTGGGGAAGGGTGTAGGGTGTAGGCCTTGGCTTCATTCATTTCTGCTCTCATTAATTCCTACAACTTCCTATGAGTTTGCTCTGTTTTTTTTCTAACTTCCAGTTAGTCTAATTAGATTCAGTTAAAATGCACTGAGGCCATATAAACCCATCCCCCAAATCAGGACCCCAAAGTCTTTCTGCACCTTTTCCACTCTCCATCTTTCCCCACAGACACTGTTATTCTTCCCTTCATTGCCATTGATTTTTGCCTGTGTTTGTGCATCATATAAATGGAATAGCAGAGTATACTCTGCTGCATCTGATTTATTGCATACAGGATAGTCAGGGGAATTATCAGTGGTCAGCTGAGTCATTAGTTTGTTCTTTGTATGCTGAGTTACTTTCCATTGTATGAATATTTTTTGTTTTGTTTTGGTTGGGTTTTGTTTTGTTTTGGTGGGTTTTGTTTTGTTTGAGACAGGGTCTTGCTTTGTAGTTCAGGCTGGTCTCAAACTTGCAGTGATCCTCCTGTCTCAGCTTCCCAAGTTCTAGGATTATAGTTGTGTACCATCATACCTAGATGTAACTTTACTAATTTTTGTCTGCTTCATCTACTGCAAGAGATGTGCTAAAAGCCATCTTTTTTTTTTTTTTTTTTTTTTTTTTTGCCTTTTTCCTTTTTATCGGTATCAGGGATCGAACTCATGACTCCCTGCTTGCTGCCGCTGAGCTAAATCCTCAACCCCTTAAAAGCCATCTTTATGATGGTGATTTTTCTTTTCAGTATTGGAGACTGAACTTAGAACCTTCACACTAAGCTATATCTCCAGCCACATTTTTTCCCTGTTTTCTTTTGAGGCAGGATGTTGCTATGTTTGTCGGGCTGGGCTCAAACTTGTGACCCTCTTGCCTCAACTTCAGAATTCCAGGTGTATGCTAGCGCACTTAGCTCTGTACAATGGTGATTAAAAAAACTTCTCATTATGCCAGTTGTGTTTTTAATATGTATTTTTACTGTTATTAGATTTACTTTGAAATCATTTAGCAGTGCCTTCCTGTAGAACTTTCTATAATGATAGAAAATGCCACGTTCCATCCTCCTCAACATGACATGGCCTCTTGCATGTTAGACAGGGCTCTACTACAGAACCATATTTTTAGCCTCTGCACATGTATTTCCTTTTTAAAAACTAGGCTACTACCATTATCAACCCTTAGAAGTTGAAGATAATCACTAATATCAGATACATAGTGTTCATATTTCCCTGGTTGTCCTGAGGTTGTAGGTTATTTTGTTTACTGAAGTTCCAGACAAGACTCACACACTGTGTTATTTGTTATTTCTTACATCTCCTTGAGTCTACAGGCTCCTCTTTTTTTTTTTTTTTTTTTTTTTTTTGGTACTGCGGATCTGAACTCACCATTGCGCGCTTGCCACCCAGGTGCTTATGCCGCTGAGCTAAGTCCCCAGCTGCTCCTCTCTTTTTTTGTGCCCCTTGTAGCTATGTGTGGGGAACCTGGGTTGTTTGCCCAGTAGTACCCCAACTACCTTTGCTGATTGCAACCCCATGGTGCCCTCTAGTGTGTTCTCTTACCTCCTTCATTTCCTGGAAACTGATACTTAGGTGCAGAGGCATTTTCAGATTCAGGGTGGTTTTCTTGAAAATCTCATAGGTGGCATCATGTCCTCCCCAAAAAGGCACATCACAGCCCCTTGTGTCTCTGTCAGGTGGGCCAGGTCAGGGGATTTCAAGGGTGACAGTCTCATGTGCACCTTGCACGTAACCTGGTTTCCCATTGGCTCTTTGCTGTCATCTCATGAGGGGTAAGAAAGAGTGCTGCTCTGTCTGTGTGACTTCTTTTCTTTCTGTACTGGCTGGGATACTTTCTGTGTTCAGAGAAGTTTCCTCTCAACTGTTTACTTACTCATAAGTACAGGTTGTATGGAAAGGCTTGATTCTTCCCTCTTCTTCTTTTAATTAGAGGTGTGTGTGTATGTGTGTGCTATTGGAGACAGAAACTAGGGGTTCCACACTGAGCCATATCCCTAGCCTTGCTTGATTTTTCAGTGCTTGGAGTTGAGCCTAGAGGCTCATATATGTCAGGCAAATGCTTTACCATATCCCCAGACCTTTAACTCTTTTTTTTTTTTTTTTGTCTTTTTCCTTTTTATCGGTACCAGGGATCAAACTCACACTGCCTGCTTGCAAGGCAGGCGCTTATGCCGCTAAGCTAAATCCCCAACTCCCTTTAACTCATTGTAACTCATTTTTAAAACAATGTTGAATCTCTGGTGTCCACCAAAGATGATCAATGAGGTCTTTTAAAAGGTTTTTTTGAGCCAGGGATATAGCTCAGCAGCACAGCACTTGCCTGGCAACCTTGAGGTCCTGAGTTTGATTCCTGACTTGGTTTTTGTTTTTGGTCTGAGACAGGGTTTCACTATGCAGTTCAGGCTAGCCTTGAACTTACTTTGTAATCCAGGCTGGCCTCAAACTCTCAGTGATCCTCCTGCATCAGCCCTGAGTGCTGGGATTATAGGAGTGAGCCATTGTACCTGGCTTTTTAAAAATTTATTTTATTGGGCCTGGGGATTTAGCTCAGCGGCATAAGCGATTGCCTTGCAAGCAGGCAGTCGTGAGTTCGATCCCTGGTACCGATAAAAAGGAAAAAGACAAAAAAAATTATTTTATTTTTTGTCTTTCAGAAATATCTATCTATCTATCTATCTATCTATCTATCTATCTATCTATCTCAACGGGGCTGGGGATTTAACTCAGTGGCACAAATGCCTGCCTGGCAAGTGTAAGGTTGTGAGTTCAATCCCTGGTACAAAAAATGTATTTTTATATATATAAATTTATATAAAATTTATTGATTTAGATTTTTTGAGACAGAGTCTCGCTGCATAGTACAGGCTACCCCTGAACTCACAGTGATCTTTCTGCCTTAGCTTCCTGAGTACTGGGTACAGGCATGCATCATGACACTCAGATTTTGATAGAGATTTTAAAACTCATGGATTTTTAAAAAATGTTTTGTGTTTCCAGTACCCAACCCCCCCCTGTCTCCCACTGTCTCTGCTCTTCTCCTCGATACTTCCTAGGTCAGAACAACCCAGTCCTAGATGTGGGCCCGCGTCGGTGGCTGCAGTGGACATGGCTGGGCCGTGCTGAGCTGCAATTTGGGGACCAGACCCTGCATGTGTCCACCGTGCAGATGTGGCTGCTGCTGAATTTCAATCAGATAGAGGTGCTGAGCTCCGTTGCCTCACTACATCTTCTCTTGTCTCTCTGTTCTCCTAAGCTCTGTTCCTCTTCCCTCCTCTCCTCTTCTTAGTTTCCCAGCCTCTCCCTTGAGTCCTCATGGGCCTTCTTTCTCTACTAGGAGGTATCAGTAGAGACCTTGCTGAAGAGTTCCGGCCTCTCCCCAGAGCTACTGCACCAGGCACTTGGGCCTCTCATCTCTGAGAGTGGCCTTTTGTCCCTGAAAGAGAGTCAAGACTTGCCACCTGGGGGTAGGTCATGGCCATTACCAGCTGTGTAATGGCTGCTCTGGGCCAGGATCCTCAGGGTGGGGCTAGTGTACAAGAGATGAGAGTCTCAAGTGTCCTCTTGTCCTCACTCATGTGCCCTCTGGGACTGGGTTCCAGGTGTGCTGCGGCTTCGTGATCCTGGGTGCTGGCCCAGCAGGGAAGTGCTATGGCTGATACCTCCCCAGTCGTACCTGAGTGTGGAGAAGGATGAGGGCCGCACACTAGAACAGAAGCGGAATCTCCTGAGCTGTCTTCTTGTCCGCATTCTCAAAGCCCATGGAGCAAAGGGCCTGCACATAGATCATCTGGTTTGTCTGGTAGGCAGAGACAGGACTGTGCTGTCAGTGGAGGGAATCCTGCTTGGGGTGGGGTGGGGTACAGCCAGAGGGGAACTCAGATCCCAAGAGACCCCCTTCTGAGTTTGCTGTTCCCAAGAGGGCAGTTGCAAAGGAAATAAAGGCCAGGAATGTTTATCATGTGCATGATCAGGCCCTTTAGTCCTCACAGTAATCCTATCAGGTAAGTGATACTCTTTTCTCCCATGTGACCAATAGGAGAAGGCATGAGGAGGTTTATAACTTAACACACAGGCAGTTTGTGACAGACCTGGCCGGCTGCTCCCTTGGTAACAAGTGGCTGAGTTCCTTCTCTCCTCCCATCCAGGTGTTGGAGGCCTGGCAGAGGGGTCCCCGTCCTCCAGGAAGTCTGGGCCTTGCTGTCGCTGGGAGTACAGACGTCCTGTCTTGCATCCTGCACCTCCTGGGCCAGGGCTATGTGAAGCGGCAGGATAACCAACCCCAGATACTGGTGTATGCCACCCCTGAGCCCGTGGTGCCCTGCCAGGGTCAGGCAGATGTCCCCTTCTGTGGCAGTCAGAGCACTGGGACTTCCAGACCTAGGTAATCACCCTTCCTGTCCCTTGCTGCAAGGTGGGCAGTGTCGGAGGGCCAGAGCCAGGCTGACTGGTAGGAAAATACTGTCTTTCTTTGTCTAGTGCCATTTTTCCTGTCCTTGTATTTCTTCTGCTTTGCTACCCCAGCTCACCACTGTCTCCTTCCTTTCAGTCAGGAGCCTTGCTTTCCCCATCTTCCTAGAGCCAGCCTATAGGCAAGGAACCCAGATTCCCAGGCTCCTTTACAATGTCTCTCATTCTAAGTAAATATGAAGAGGTCACATGTGATGTGTATGGAATGTAACTGTGCTCCACTGGCTAAAACACGGAAACTTTCAGGAAGGTTATTCTAAGTGGAATTCATCATAGACTTTCCCTAGCTACCACTGCCCCAGGCACTTCCAGCAGCAGATCCGCTTCTCCAGCACTGTTGGGACTTGGTGTTGGCCCTGGTGCATGAGTCCTCTAGGATGAACCTTATGCAGCCTCTGCTTGTACAGACATCACTGGGGTGGAGAAGGGCAGGTCCTGGGCAGCCTGCTCTGTGATAACTATCCTGCTGGTCCATGGGCTGCACTGTGGAGAGAGGCTGTCAGCACTTCCCCACTCACTGTAGGTAGCCCAGCGTCCTGCTTCCATTTCCTAAACTCAGCACCCCAATCAGCATCTCTGTGGCAGGCTCTGCCCTGGCATTGGTGGGGTAGTTGTCCGAAGGCTGCTGGAGCAGGCATCAGAGAGGATATCCTGGCATTGGTGAGGCTTGGGGAGGAGGGCAGGAATCCTGACCATTGTCTCTTTTCCCTCCCCAAGCCCAGTGGCCGTGGCTGCCCTGGCATCTCTCCAGCTGCCCGCAGGCCGCACCATGAGCCCACAGGAGGTGGAAGGGCTGATGAAGCAGACAGTGCGGCAGGTGCAGGAGACCCTGAACTTAGAACTGGACGTGGCTCAGCATCTTTTGGCTCATTGCCACTGGGGTGCCGAGCAGCTGCTGCAGAGCTACAGTGATGACCCTGAGCCACTGCTGCTGGCGGCCGGGCTGCGAGTGCCTGAGGCCCAGGTGGCCCCCACACCTCCGGACCTCTGCCCTGTCTGTGTTGGTCCCCTGGGGCCTGGTGACAACCTGCCCTCCCTCTGCTGCCTGCACTCCTGTTGCAAGGTGAGGCCCAGCCCTCCAGTCTTGCTTTCTCCTTATCAATTCCTGGGAACTCCTGGATCCAGTCAAGCATCATCACTTCCTAACTTGGGCAGTGTTGCATTGGTTGTTTTGTTTCTGTGATAGGGAATGACCACCAAAAATTTGTGAATACCACTGGGCTACATTCCTAGCTCCTGACATAGCTTGTGAGTTCCTTGAACTAGTTTTGTCATCTGTTGGTGATGCCACCTGCCTTACCTCTGTGGGGTAGGTGACAGGACTCAGTGGTAGTGGCAGTCTCACTCCTCTGTACTTTATAATTATGGCTGCTTCTGAAGGTCCTGATGCCCAGCCTGTGCCCTAACCCAGTGAAATCACCCTTACCTCCTTACTGGAGGTAAATTTAGGGACTGGTTTTAAAACCTCAGTGATTCCAGTTGTCAGCCGAGGTTGAGAACAGAATGAGTACTGGATAGCATTGACTTTCATCCCACTGAGTCACTGCCACAGCTGTGGTTTCTGTATCACCTCAGAGTACCATCTCCTGTTTATTCTGTGCACAAGTAGAAGGACGTGGTGTAGACCAGGAACAGCAGCTAGCTGGGGCGTGGTGGGAAGTCCCATGTCAGGACACACAGGTGGGACGTGGGGGGGGCGCACTGTGGAGACAGGGCTCAGCCTGCCGTCCACCTGCAGCCCTGCAGATGCACTACTCCAGACTTGGCATAGCAGCAGGAGCCTCTTCATCCTCAAATTCTAGCTGCTGTCCGAACAGCATGTTCCCGTGGTGGGTAACCCAGGTCATAGCATCTGCGTGAGCATGTCCTTGCTATCTTGTTCCTTTTGCTCTGCTTCTAGCTCCTCTCTTCACCTAGGGCGTAGGCTGCCTTTTTCCTGGGCTCTTCTTGATTATTTCCTTTACACTTGTATTTTTCTCACTCAGCTAATACCTGTTGTGGACCTGCTGTGTGTGTGACCAGGGCCGGCTACTGTGGGAAGGAGTGGAAGAATCAGGCAGGAGATGGTGTGCGAACTGCTAAGGGCTGCTGGTGTGGCTGCGGTTCCTTGGGGCCAGGCACTACTGCTCATGTGCCAAATCGTGTTACTGTGGAACAGGGTCCCAGCATCAGTGTTTTATTTTTCCCATTTTACAGAGGATGGGTGGAGATCCTAAGAGGTCAAGTAATTCGTCCAAAATCGGAGCTTGCATTTTGGCAGGTGCAGCCAGGGCCTACTCTCCACACAGCTGAGACAAGGAAGGGAAGAAAGCACGTGAAGGCCACCTCTCAGGAGGTGATTGACCAGTATGGAAGTGCAGATAAGGGGTGCTTGGGTGACTGCAGGAGAGAAGGACAGGGACAGGGAACAGCTGAACCTGGTAGCTGAAGTGTGGCACATGACAGGTGAGGAGGCTCAAGAGGCAGTGAGTGCAGTAGGGGGTGACTGGGTCAGAGACAGGAACCTATGGTGGGACTAAAAGAGGAGGATCACTATGGCCATTGTGCGGGGAGCAGGCTTGGAGGAAGAGGTGTGCAGCAGGGAGGCTGGACAGGGATTATTGGGAAGAGGCAGGCGTGGTATCCCGACCAGCAGCAGGGTTGTCGAGAGGGACAGTTCAGGATGCATGGGGAGTACAGCTGCCGATGCTACTGCTTTAAGTGTGAGGCTGGCTGGACAGAATGTGTCATTCTTACTAAGGTGAGGGTTAGGGTTCAAGTAGGGGTGGAAGCAGCTTCTTGAGGAGAATCCCAACCCATTGTGGTCTTGTGAAGCTTGGACACTGGGACAGGCAGGTGGCCAGTGCATTTTGAAGGCCTGGCTGGTGTCACTCAGGAAGAAAGAGCAGGCCAGGTACTGAACCACCTTATAGTGACTTGGGCACAGTAAACCAGATGTGTGACTGAGAAAGTTTCAGCTGGGGGGGATCCTGCAAAGTGGTCATAGCTGAGTGGCACAAAGGGCAGCCCCAGAGATGTCAGAGGAGGGCAGTGCAGGGTCTGGAGCAAAGGAGGAGGCCACCAGGTGAGTCTTGCTAGCAGGCAGGGTGGCAAAGGCAGGCAACAACAGCACGGTGTCCCATAAGTTTGCATGTTGCGGTGCTGGTGATTAGACCCAGGGCCTTGCACGTGCTAGGCAAGTACTCCACCATTGAGCTGCACTTACAGAACCTTAAAAAAAAAATGCAAGAATTTTGCACTCAGTGCCCTGATTTGTCTGGGCATGTTTCAGTGCAGAAAGGGTTTGGTCCTTTCCTTGGAGTTAAAGTGATCCAGTTAGACCCTTCACACTACCGGAAGCCTTGACACCACCCACGTATACAGCCTCCCAGGCCTCAGTCCTGTCCTTTTGGAGATCTTGTGGTAGACACAGGCATGTGGGCAGCAATGGCTGCTGATGGAGTATTCTGGGAGGCTTGGCCTACTGAGCATTCAGAGATGGGGAGGCCACTAATGGGCGGGGAGCTCAGACCATGGACTGGAGGTGGGGATGATGGCAGGATTTCCTGGGGGGTAGATGGGGGAGCCAGAGGAGTTTGAGAGATAAGTCCCAGTGCTGGGGACTCAGGGTGGAGTGCCATAGGTCTGGGCTCAGGACACTGTGGGCAAGTCTGCCTGTGGGGAGGCGGCTGTTCTTTTAGCCTGAGGACAGGGTGGGGTCTGAGTTTGGGAAGAGACCAGGGTGTGCAGCAGTGTGGGGAGCCAGGACCCAATGGGGGCTCCTTTCTCCCTGGCCCTGCTGCTTTTTCCATGTCTTCTAGACAATGGGTCCAGGCTGGGGATGTGGCTCGGTGGCACAGTGCCTGCCTAGCAAATACAAGGTCCTGATTCCTGGTACAAAAAAAAAGGTCTTTCTCCTATTCTCTTTACCCATTCCCTGTGTGGCCCCTGGTAGTGATAACTGGCTGGCGACTGACCACAGCCTCTAAGACAACTGTGATCCGGGCCAATCCAGGAAAATCCATGGTAGCCAGAAGAATCAGGGTCACTTTTGAGGTAGACCCAAGAGCAGGTGGCCTTGGCCTTCCACCTGGTGAGGGGACAGTGGCCACCTCTCTGAGCAGCCCCACTTGTCTTCCCAGTCTTGCTGGAATGAGTATTTGACAACCCGAATCGAGCAGAACCTTGTGCTGAACTGCACCTGCCCCATTGCCGACTGCCCTGCCCAGCCCACCGGCGCCTTCATCCGTGCTGTGGTCTCCTCGCCAGAGGTCATCTCCAAGGTATCGCCTCAAGTCTGAGGGAGGCTCCAGGGGGGCTGGAGGTGTGAGAAGCCCAAGAGCCACCCCCTCACTTTTGTCCCTCGTGGCCCTGCAGTACGAGAAAGCCCTCCTGCGCGGCTATGTGGAGAGCTGCTCCAACCTGACCTGGTGCACAAACCCCCAGGGCTGCGACCGCATTCTGTGCCGCCAGGGCCTGAGCTGTGGCACTGCCTGCTCCAAGTGTGGCTGGGCCTCCTGCTTCAACTGTAGTTTCCCAGAGGTGCTGCCCAAACCCTGGGCGAGGCTTTTCGTTCCTTACCCAGCCCTTCCCTGCCACACACACACACACAGACTGCAGTGTGCCCTTCCTCCCCCTCTGCCTCCCTGCTGGGCTCTGTCCTCTCACCCATTCTCCTCCAGATAAACCTGTCTTCTCCTCCTCTCCCCACACACACCTGCAGGGCCACCCTTCAGGGCTCCGCTGTGTCCTCACTACCCCCTTCCATGCTAGGCACACTACCCCGCCAGCTGTGGTCACATGTCTCAGTGGGTGGATGATGGTGGCTACTACGACGGCATGAGTGTGGAGGCGCAGAGCAAGCACCTGGCGAAGCTCATCTCCAAACGCTGCCCCAGCTGCCAGGCTCCCATAGAAAAGAACGAGGGGTGCTTACAGTAAGAAGGGGGCACGGTGGGTCTGGAGGACTCGGTGGGGGGGGCAAGAGGGAGATGGAAAGCTGGCAGTGAGGACAGTGAGGCTTATTGTAAGTGCAGCATATCTGGTACCTATCAGGACTTCCTGAGTGCTATTTTGTCCTGCACTGGGGAATGCACCTTGGCCTTTGTATTGACATCCTTTACCCTTAAATTTGTTAAATTTTGAGACAAGGTCTTGCTCAGTCACTAAGTTGCCTGGCTAGGCTGGAATTTGTGATCCTCATGCTTTAACTTCCCTAAAATGCCGAGATTATAAGTGTGTGCCACCATTCACAGCTGGAAGCCAGTGTTCCCTCCTCTTTAAGTCTACCCTGTGGGGAAATTCCGTAGGCCCTGGGGAGGTGGATACTGCAGGGCTGGGAGGGGCCAAGGCCTGGAGCAGTGTCAGGTACGTCCAGGCCAGTCCTGGCCACCCCTGCCGAGGCAGGTGCCCTCCGACCAGCTGCCTCCACAGCATGACCTGTGCCAAGTGTAACCATGGCTTCTGCTGGCGGTGCCTCAAGTCCTGGAAGCCCAGTCACAAAGACTACTACAACTGCTCTGCCATGGTAAGGGCTGGGCGCCAGGGAGGCAGGGCTGGGGTAGGCAGGTGACAGCGGCTGGGAGAGGCTCAGCCAAGTGAGGGCTGAAGCCAGGAGGGCCTGCAGGTCTGGGATGTGGTACTAAGGCCTATTCTCAGGGCCTCCCTCCATCTTCAGAGCAGGGCTTCCCACCCTGGGAGCCGCAGCACAGGGAGGCATCCATAGGTACAGGGCAGGGCAGGCAGGGCCAGGAGTCACTGCCCAGCTCCCCTACAGGACTAACAGGAGAGTGGGAGAGGCTGCGGGGTGCGGGTCCAGTGACTCTGTCAGGCATGGACAAGTGGTCAGCAGCCCTGTCCCCTTCTCACCAGGTGAGCAGGGCTGCTCGCCAGGAGAAGCGCTTCCAGGACTACAATGCGAGGTGCACCTTCCATCACCAGGCGCGGGTGAGCGGGGAGGAGGGCTGGCAACAGGTCCAAGCCAGGGCCAAGTGGGAGCCACATAGGAGCTGAGCACTTTCCTCCTGTAGGAGTTCGCCGTGAACTTGAGAAAGCGGATCTCCACCATCCATGAGGTGCCCCCGCCCGAATCCTTCGCCTTCCTCAGTGATGCGTGCCAGGGCCTGGAGCAGGCGCGAAAGGTGGTTGTGGTGGGGATTGGGAGGGTTTCATGGGGTCAGCTCCCTACCGGGACACACGTGGCCGGAGGGACAGTGGGAAGGCACTGCGTGAGTGCCCGGCTCCCTAGGTGCTGGCCTATGCCTGCGTGTACAGCTTCTACAGCCAGGACACCGAGTACATGGACGTGGTAGAGCAGCAGACTGAGAGCCTGGAGCTGCACACCAACGCCCTGCAGATCCTCCTTGGTTAGCTGCTCCCTTGCCAGGTCTCACAGCGTCCTGGGTCTCTGGCCATCAGGGTGGGAACTCCTGGTCTGCACACTGTCACACTGTCTGGCACATGCCCAAGTGAATGTATAGCTGCTCCATCGGTGTTTGTGAAGGACGGGGAGTGGGGACAGGGAGCGAGCCCTGTGCCTCGCCCTGCAGAGGACACGCTGCTGCGCTGTGGGGACCTGGCCTGTGCTCTGCGCCTCCTGCGGGCTGACTGCCTGAGCACAGGCTTGGAGTTGTTGCGGCGCATCCAGGAGCGGCTGCTGGCCATCCTGCAGCATTCCACCCAGGTATGTGCTGCCTGCCCGCCCACCTGCTGCCTGGCCCTGAGCAGCCTGCCCGGGTGACTGGAGGGGCACTGGGTATCTGGATGTCAGGAGGCAGCACGCTGTGTCCCACCTGGCCTGGGTGCAGTCAAACAGTGCTGCTCCAGTTGTGGACACAGAATCCCAGGCATGGGCTCAAGGGGTGAGGGTCACTGAAGTGAGACCCACCAAGGTTCCTTCCACTCTGTACCTGGCCTTACACCTGCCTCCTGACTGGTAAGTAACCTGGTGCACCACAAGCACTGGCGTAGAGTGTGGGTGCCCCAGTGTGCCCTACCTCTGCGACCCTCAGATCAAAAGGCACAAAGGCAGTAGTCTGAAGGGCCATGCTGATGGGGGTCGAGGGCCTACTGGCCGAAGCCTGGCCTGGGCACAAACTGTTGTCTTCGGCTCTCTCACTTCTGCCAGGACTTCCGGGTTGGTCTCCAGAGTCCCTTGGTAGTGACTGAGGAGGTGAAAGGACCCAACCTGCCCAGCCATCAGTGAGTACTGGCTGAGCCCTAGGGGATGGTAGCACGGGACATGGCACCCCTGGGCTCATGGGGGTGGCTGTACCTAGGCCCCAGGGCTCTGCAGTGCAGGAGGCAGAGGAGGAGGACGAAGAGGAGGACTACATGCCCGAGTGGCACCAAGACGAGTTTGACGAAGAGCTGGACAACGACAGCTTCTCCTATGATGAGTCTGAGAACCTGGACCAGGAGACTTTCTTCTTTGGTGATGAAGAGGATGAGGATGAGGCCTCTGACTGAGGGCAGACTCGGGGGACACCTGGAACCCCCAGAGCACAGGACTGAGGGGTGGGGGTGGGGCGGGCAGCACTGCTGCTCCTTTAAGGAATAAACTGCTTTTTCCCTGTACTTCTGTGGAGCAGCTGGACAGCTCCGCAGCCCCTCCCAGAGCCCCGCCCTCCTGCTTTCTCCTTCGTTTTTCTTCTTCCCCAGACTCTTCACCCTGAGCTACATCCCCAACCCTTTTTTAAATTTTGAGATAGGATCTTGCTAAGTCATTAAGTTGCCCAGCGTGGGCTCAAACTTATGATCCTCCTGCCTCAGTCTCCCAGAGTGCTGAGAGGACAGGTATAACCCACCACCCCAACATCTCTCTGTCCCTAGAGAAGGCCCAGTGGAGCAGACAGGGAAGTGAAGGTCTGAATATGGCCAGGGGCAGGGCAGGCCTGGCTAAGCGTCAGGCCCCACAGCCAGCCTTCCTGCACACCCACGGTGTCTTGAGGACATGGGATGCCCTTAGGCTTTCGGAGGCTCTCCCTGTACCTAAAGTGAATTGGGAAGCTGGGAGTAGTGGGTCACACATGTAATCCCAGCTACTTGGGAAGCTGAGGCAGGAGGACTGGGAGTCTGAGGCTGCTTGGGCAATTTAGTGGGAAGCAATCTCACTGGGAAGGGAAGGGAAAGGGACATTACTGAGGACCTGGCCCACCTCATCCTGGTACAGACACAGTCAGAATTTTAAGTGAACCTTTTAATTCACTTTGGGCCTTGGCAGGAGTGGGAAGGGTCTGAGGCAGTGACTTAGCTGGTCTCCTGATCACCAGCTGCAGCCCCCTGCTCAGAGGTGTCAGCCTCGAAGTACCGGTCCAGCAGTGCCTCCAGCTGTCCCTCGTCATAATCCCACACCTGGAACCTTGAGCCATCTGCAGCCCCCCGAATCATGGCAGAAAGCACTGGGGAGGGCAGACAGTGAGGGACGCGAGGCTGCCCCCCACCCCGTGCTCTCACCCTTGGCCCTGCGGACCACCAAAGGTGGGGTGCTCACCTCGGCCAGACTGTGGGCGGAAGAGGCACAGCACTGGCTTGTTGAGGGCCATGGCCCGGCCCAGCTCATAGCCAACCCCCAGGGAAGGCTGTGTCACCTCTGCCACCACCGCTGGGGAGAAAGGAAGCTGAGAGTTGGTGCTGGAACCCTGGGGCATGCAGGGAAAGTGACCCAGTGTGGCCCTGGTGACACTGAGGGGGAGCCCAGGGCTGTCCAAGGACTTAGTCCCCATGGTGCTGCAGGAAGAAGGGCCACTCACCGTCTGCCTGCTGCAGCCAGGCCAGGTCCCGGTCATGGATGTGTCTGTCCATCCCTGGGGGCTCCTCTCCTGCAGGTGAACAGCTGGTCAAGGGGCTCCCCAATGGGCACCCAAGGCTGCTGTGTCCCTGCTGCCCCAGAGCCCATCAGAGGGGTGAGCCAGGGACAGCCACAGGTGGTGTGATTAGGGCAACTGGGTAGATCAACCCCTAGGACCCAGGCTGGGGCTGTTTCAGGCAGGGGCAAACACGCCTCAGGATGGGACTTGCACGATGGACGCAGACCCGGCAAGGGCAGGGCTAGTAACCAGCTTCAGTCAACGGGGGTGGGGGGGGGGAGGGTTAGGGGGATTCTGAGCGGTCTCGGCTGTGTAGTGAAGGCTGACCTCCCAAGTTAAAGGACCCTGAACCTCGGCCTCCAAGCAGGGATTCCAGGCTACATCCTCTTAAATGAGCTCCATGAAAGTAACGATGCCTACGCTCCGGGGTCCTCACAGTGCAAGTCCCTCGCGACCTCCCACTAATTTTGTCTTTTTAAAGGTTCCCAAGCTGGGTATAGAGAGAGTGCCGCATGCTTGGAATCGGAGGATCCAAAGTGGTGAGCCCAGCTAGGGCAATTCAGCAACTTAGTGAGACCCCATTTCAAAGTAAAAAAAACTAAAAATGGTTGGGGAGGTGGCCCGGTGAGTGGACCCGGGTTCAATCCCCATGACAGTAAAACAGAAAACCTGGACCCCTCCTGCAGACTGCATCGGGTGCCGCGGCCTTGGGCAGGCGTAGTGAGAGGGGACCTGCCCCTTTCCCGGGCCCCACTCCCAGTCCCTCATCACCGTGCTCGTCCAGCTCGGCCGCTGCCACGTGCTCGGTGAGCACCACCCCGAAGCGCCGCAGCCGCGACACGATGCGCGCATACAGCGCCTGGTCTTGGCGACCTCCGCGGATGCTGCCGCAGAAGTACAGGACCCGACCCTGCGCCCCACGCCGCTCCTGGTCCCCGCCAGTCCCGGCCGCTGCCATGGCCGCCGTGCCACTCACCACGTGACCCGAGGGCGGGCCCGCCGGACTGCGCCGCCCAGCCGGGCGTGCACAAGGCGGATCCCGCGCTGCGCGAGGCTGAGGCTGGGCATTCGGCCTTAAGAGCTTGGCCTGGGAAGGTTGGAGGCTTTGCGAGACCGTGTTTCAATTAAGGGTCTGGGATGCAAACTCACGGCGAAGGCCCGGCGTTTGATCTCTAGTACCAAAACCAGGCACTCCCAGCCTCGACTACCTGGGGTCAAACCTGCAAGTCCTCCTGGACGCCAAACCCAAGGTCCACTGCTGTGGGTTCTCTGGACCCTGTCACCGGCCACCTCTCCTGCCACAGCCTATGCCCAGCCGGCACCCTACCCAAGTCTGCACATCACAGCCATGAGGTCAAACACAAAAGTGGGGTCACACACAAGACACGATAGAGTTTTGTGTGGGTGTGTACTGGGGATCAAACCATGGGCTTTGCACTTGCTAAGGAAGCGCTATCACTGAACTACTTCCTCGGGCCCAATTTGTTGTTGTTGTTGTTAAGACAAGGTTTTGTGAAGTTTCTCAAGCTAGGCTCGTACTTTCAGTCCTCCCGCCTCAGCTCCCTAGTGGTGTTATTACTGACTTGCACCACCGCGACCGGCCTATGTAATATTTTCAAAGTGCTAAATACAAACGAGAGACTAAAGTGATTGCGGCTGCCCGACTCGGCCTGTGGGGAAACCAGAACACGCAACTGTGCACTGCCGCCCCCTACCGGCACCCTCCGCACCACACACACATCTTTAGGAGGTACGGGGCGCAGAGGCACTCCTCCTCCTGTTCACACTTTCCCGAGGCTGGCCTGGGGAAGCCCTAATTCGCACAGATGAGCATGCACATGTTTAGATGTACAGCACAGTGAGTGTACACGCAGGCACGCACCTGTGATCCCATCACAGCCACCGAGGTAGTGAACGTCCCCGACAGCTCCCAATGTTTCCTGTGTGTCCTTTCACACTTGTTTCCATGGTAAGAACGCTTAGCATGAGAACGGTCCTCTTAACAAATTTTAAGTGTGCAATACCATCCTGTGAACTATAGGCACTACGTGACACAGCAGATCTCTAGCTCTGGTCCAGCTAGCACAAGTGACACTTCACATCCATTAAACAACTCCCCATTTGGTTGCCCCATGCTTCCAGCCCTGGCAACCACTTCTGTAGTTTCTGCTTCTATAATTTTGACTCTGTCTGAGTGAGCAGGTCTTGATAAGTCATCAACATGCCTGGGCTTGGCTTGAGCTTGCTATCTGCCTGCCTCAGCATCCCAGAGTGCTGAGATTACAAGCATGTTCCACCATGCCCAATGGAGTTTGACTGTTCCACTATTCTAGATACTACATATAAAATTTCTACAGTATTTGTTCTGCTATGGGAGACTTACTTCATGTAGCATAATGTCTTTCAGGTTCATCTACACTGTAGACTCACTGACTTCAAAATATAGTGTAAAATCTACAGCCATGAGAACAGTATGGTACCAGGATTGTGCAAAGCACACCTTCCCCCTTGCCCCACTCAGAGCTTCACACGGCCCAGCGCTGAGTCTCCGGAACTGGTGTTTATCCCCTATTTCCAGCAGACCGGGATACCCAAAGGGGCTTTGGAAAAAATACACTGGGAACTTCAGTTATTTTTACCTGTGGTTTTCCCCCTCACTCTCTTTATGTCTCCTTTAGTAATTTTGATATGGGTAACTCCTTGTTTCTCTCATTGAGGAAGAATAGCCTTGCCTTTGAAAACTGAGTCTTTTACCTTTAGTTAGTAATTTAGAAAAGTTTATGTTAAAAAAAGAAAAGTTTATGTTTTCTGTTTCTGTATATTTTTAGATTTCCAGCCATTATGTCCTGCAAGTCCATAATAAATGGAGTTGGACCTATCTATATGTGTGTATATATGTATGTAAAAAAGATAGTTAAGATAGTTATACTACTGATTTCTCTGTGTTCCTTGAAGAGAAAGATTCGTGCTGGTATTGCTTGAATAGTTGAATGAAGATGTCTTGGGCTCTGGGTGAATGATTTGGGGGTGGCAGTGCACAATGTATGTACCATTGTTGCCCCCTGATGGACGTGATTTAAAATTTTGTTTATTTTTGAAATAAAATGGATTTGAAAAATGAACAAATAGACAAAAAACAGTACAGTATTGGTATTAAGACAGGCATTAGACCAATCTGTAGGAGACGATTTAATAACTTCCCTTGAATGGGGAGCAATTGCCTCAACTTTGATTATACTGAGACTTATTTCCAGATACTGATATGTATAGAGCTGACTGTGGTTTTCTCTCTCTTCAGTTGGCTCTAAGCATTGCAAATAAGGCCAGCCGAGGGAGAGGTATGTAACCTCTAAAGCCATCGGACAGTCATCTGTTTCCTTGCGTAGTGCTCTCTGAATAGATGAGCACAGCAGGATGGTGGAGCCAGTCAGCTGCAGGAATGTCATCTGGGTTTGTGCCTTGAGATAAAGAGGCTATCAGTGCCCAGTGCACAAAGGTTTACATATCAGAAACTGAAACAACAGCATCCGAAAACAGTTCAGGTGCTACCTTAGTTGAACTATGCAGATTGATCTTTCTGTGTGTCATTCTCCCTACATTTTGCAGAGATGCTTTTCTCCCTACCTGGCCAGCCAGCTCAAGTTACTAAGGTAATTCCTTGCATCGTCACTGTCACTCATCCCTGAGCCACACCCCCCCTTCTTCACAAGATAGTAATCCTGGGAGAGGCCTTGGATCAGGGCTTTTGTCCACCTATCCTCACGAGGATTGGATTTAGGACCCCTTGGCTGCCTTTAACTTGGAATGCGTCTGGGTGTCTTTATTCTCACCGTGGGTTGCACTGGAGATGGTAGATTGGAATTAACTTGCCAGTATTCCAATAACATCTCAATGGGATTACAAATACAACTTTTTGGATTGTGAAAAAGACAGAGAAAGATTACAATACTTGGGTTACTGTACTCTATATTTGGGATTACAATACCAATCAAACAGGATAGAGAAAAGAAATAAGTCTATGCATATGTGGCCGCCCGATTTCTGATGAGGGGAATACACAATGGAAATGGAGGTGGGACGTGGGGAAACAGGATATCAGTACACAGAAGAAAGAACCTGGCCAGGGATTTAGCTCAGCAACATAAATGCTTGCCTGGCAAGCGCAAGGTTGTGATTCAATGCCCGGTACAAAAAAAAAAAAAAGAAAAGAACCTGGGCCCCTGCCTCACAACATACACAGACAGCAGCTCAAAAGGGATTAAACACGCAACTGTAAAACATGAACTGTAGAACTACTAGAAGAAAATACAGGTACTGACACTGGATTTGGCAATTATTTTTGGATGTGATGCTCAAAGTATAGACAAAAGCAAAAAATAAAAATAAAAAAGTGTATGTCAAACTAAAAAATTCAAGGCAAACCTATGCTACATAGTGAGTTTGAGGCCAGCCTGAATTACACAGAGAGACCCTATCTCAAAACTTTCTCCCCACCCAAAAAAAGAAAGAAGGAAAAAACTGCTGTAAGAACAATCCAGCAAATCTATTCCTGGGCACAGCTATCAAAAGAAACAAGGATTGGACACAGTATATGTGTCCCTATGTACTTTGCATATTTTGCAGAATTATTCACACTGGGCAAGAACAGGAATCCCCAGTGTCAACTGAGGGATGAACGGATGAAGAAAATGGAAGGAAATGTGGTATGAACACATAGTGGCAGATGGTTCAGCCTTCAGAAAAAAGGGAAACCTGCCCTCTGTAATAGTAAAGTTATCTTTCACAAAGCCAGAAATGTGCTGGGTATGATGGCCCATGCCTGTAATCCCAGAACTCCAGAGGCTGAGACAGGAGGATTGCTTTGAGTTTGAGGCCAGCCTGGGTTACAAAGTGAGTCAGGGGCAGCCTGAATTGCACAGCAAGACCCTGTCTCAAGTAAACCAAAGGAAGAAAAAAAGCCAAAATTGGAGAAATTTAGTTAATGAGATTCAGTGATTATCAATTTACGACCAATCTTGTTTGTGCTATACTCAATATCCTCACCATTAATTTTTTAAATTTCACTTCTAAATTTTTAAGTATGTGTATCAAAAAGGTAAAGTCCCCCTCTGCTTTTTTTTTCCTTTTTGAGCCAGTCTTGCTACGTAACCCAGGTTGGTGTCGAATCTGGAATCCTCCTGCCTTGGTCTTCCCAGTGCTATGAGTACAGGTGTGCACCACCATGCTCAGCTAAGAACCTTCTTTTTAAGTGATGCAGCCACCTGGACATGGTGGTCTACACCTGTAACGTCAGCTACTTGGATAATTGAAGCAGGACTGCAATTCAAGGCCAGTCTGAGCAATTTACTGAAAGCCTGTCTCAAAGTAAAACTTAAAAACGGGGCAGGTGATGTAGTTCCATGGTAGGCCACTTCACTAGCATGCACAAGGCCCTGAGTTCCATTTCCAGTATCACCCCTGTTATGGATTAAAAACTAATGGTCAACTTAACACCACCTGAATTAAATCGGCATGGTGCGGAGTGGAGATGACCCACCTGAGGACCGTTGCCAGCACAAAAGGAGACATGGAGAGGGAGAGTGGGTGTTGTGGATTCTCCTAAGTGTTGCTGTTTGGAGCTGTTGATTCTCCTGAAGGAGCTTGTCATGCTGGCTTCCCCAAGGTGGATTCGGCCATTATCATAGGAGCAGCTCGGGACTCCGTCACTGAGAGGGGCTGCAGTGTACTTTGGGGGAGCTCTGGTCCTTACGCTGAGTATCGCTTCCTGGCTCCTGAAAGGAAGACGTGTGCTGTTGAATCTCCAAGAGATCCTGACATGTGCTTGTTCTCATCGTCGGGGGAGCTCAGGACCTCATTGTTGCTGAGGATGCTGTGATACTTCTCAAGAGAGTCCTGGTCCTTATTTTGAATGTCACTTCTTAGCTCCAGTAAAGAACCCTCAGCCTACTGGCACAGCTCCTTCACCCCGCT